GCCTCCCAAAGTGCTGGGATTACAGGCTTGAGCCACCGCGCCCGGCCTGCAGGATCTTTTTAACCCAACCCAGGGGCCTGACATATATCCTTGCTAAATGTCATTATTTTGGATTAGGACCAAGAGCCACAGCAGTGAGGCTAGCGCAAAGCCCGAGTGGAATGGTACCCACGGATGTTGCTCTCCCTCCCGCTGGCCATCAGCCACGGCACTGCCACCTCTTCCATCTTCGTCACCTCCTCAGCAAAACTTCTGAGCAGGGGAGAGCTAAAGGGTGGACAGGGTGAGCCTGCCACTCCAGCCCTCTCCCCCGCCCCCAGGATCTGCACATCTCTCCACAGAAATGTACACAAAATTCAAGCAGTTGCCAGAAACCGCACCTCAGAAAGGCACATGACAACGGCTGGGCAGGCTCCAGCTTTCTCACGGGGCCTTCCTTTCCCTGCCATCAAATTTCTCTCTCTCGCTCTCTTTTTTTATTTATCCAAAGCCTAATGTCTTACAGACATATGGGCCTTCTTGGGTCTCTAGTTCTTTCTAGGGAATCCAGAGAGTGGGGAAGTGCAAGAGGCTACCAGAAACATTCAGCCAAGTTCCTCTTCTCCCCAGGCTGGCACTGAAAAGATCTCTCCAAGGGAACCCACTAGACGGACCGACTTTAGTGCAGAAATATAACTTGGCGCATCTGTGCTGAGCTTCTTCCATGCACTAGGCACTGGACAGCGGAATGTCCCTGGGGGTGAGCCATGGTCCCCGCCCTCCAGGAACTCAGAGTCACATCTGCAGAATGAGCTTGCTGCTGTTAGCACTTCCCACCTCCTTTTTCCTAAATGTATTTCTCTTTCCACCCTTCCCTCCTTGCTTCCCTCAAGCTCCCCAGCCTCCCCTTCAAGACCTTCTCTTAGCTAAGGATGTGTAGCTCATTCACATAAAGGCACGAGGGACTGATCACAGCTGAAAGCATTCTCATTCCCAAGAAAGATGTGGTTTAACAACAGAGCCTTAAGCTAAAGTGCCAGGTGGTAGAATTTCAGGCTAAGAAGACAGGAGTTTGGGCAAGGAAGGGAATATCGTTCTCATGTTGGTGCCCTTGAAATCTCCCCATGTGTGTGGTTCCCTGGTACAGTGACACAGAAGTGGCAGAACTGGCAGCCCGGAAACACGTTTGAGTCTAGCATGGGATCCTAGCCATGCCATGCCATGCCTCAGCTACCACCACCAATCAAGGATGTCAGATCGCAACCACAGGGGACACTGATGTGCTCACCGCTCCCTTCACAAGGCCCCTGTCTGCTCACCTCTGCCCAAACCTCGAGGCCCTAGCGCTTCCTTGCCCTTTGGGGAGCCCCAAGCCTCCTACCTCCCCTGCCTCCCAGCAATGACCTCTAGATCTGTGCTGCCTGGTATAGGAGCCGCCAGTCACACGCAACTGTTAGGTACCAGAAACGTCTCTCACCCAACAGTGTAACATTTCATCCCACACTGCAGATTGAAGACAATATGGAAACAGAATGTAAAAATCTCATAAACATTTGTGTCTTGATGACATGTTGAAATAATAACATTTGGGGTATGTTTAGTCAAAGAAAATATACTGTTAAAATTAATTCCACCTGTTTTTTTCTATCTGTTTTAATGTGGCTGCTGGAAAATTTTAAATTTCACTTGTGGCTCCCATTTTATTTCCTTGGACAGTATGATCCTGGATGAAGGGCCCAGGCACTCCCTCAACTCAAAGGGGCAGAATAAGCAGTCTGCCGTTAGCATTTCAGCCTCCTTTTTCCAAACATATTTCCCTTTCCACCAATAGCCTGCCCTCCTACTCCCCTCAAGCTTCCAGCCTCCCCAGTCAAGACCCTTTCTTAGCCAAGGATCTAGAGCTCATTCACATGAAGGTATAAGGGTCTGATAGTAGCTGAACGTTTCTCATTCCTACTGTCTCCCATAGGAAGGCATCTCCCTGGGCTGGGGACACCACAGACTCTCTCCAAAGGGAAAGTGTCCTCCTGGCTTGGGGGTCTGGAGGTGGGGGGCTTCAGGAAGGTTGTGCCTCTAACCAAAGGGCCTAAAATCAGGGAGGGATCCCAGAGTTCCTCCAGAGGTGGGGGCCAAAACCAGGCAAGTCTCTGGACTCCAAATAGCAAGGGGCAGATCAAGGAGACTCCCATGGCTGTCTCATCACCCCGTGGAATCCAGCTGCCCTACAGAGGTAGGAGGGGCAAACTCCGTTCCGCCTGCCACAATCTCCTCCATTGCCTCCCCTCCCCACCTCCCATCTACCCACCCTGGAGGGCCCCGAAGCACTGTTGAAGCCTTCCTCCAGCCCCTGCTCCCTCCTCCCACAGGACAGCTGCTTCCCTGGTGCCCACAAATGAAGTCCAGACACCTTAGTCCCATGGACAGGGCCCTCTGCACCCTGACCACAAGCAGCATCCTCCCCTGCCCTGGAGCCCACAGCTCTGCCAGTCTGGTGGCCAAACCGCCCCACTCTGTCCTCATCTCCAGGCTTTGTTCCAGCATCCCGCAGGCTAGAACGTCCTCTTCCCAATGGAAGTCTACCATCGTTCAGGGCCCAGCCGAAATCCCTCTCCCACAGGTACCTGCCTTGATGCCTCAGTTTCCAGGCGCAGGGTCTGCGGCCAGGGTAGGGCGGCTGGCTTTCTTCCCTCTGCCCTGGCTTCCCCTCCTGGGTGGGGAGCTCTGTGCAATGGTCCCCTCCACCCCTCCATTCTGCCCTGCGGCAGGTGTGTGTGCCTTCATGAATGCCCCGTCCCACACTGGACTGCAGGTTCCTTGAGGGCAGACGAATTGTCTCAGACACTTCTGCCCACCCACCCACTCAGGGTCTCACCGCCTCCACAAACAGCCCTTAAACTAATGTTTGACTAACACAGGGACCCCAAAGAGCCCCGCAGAGGATGGCAGTGGTCAGTGTCCTGCAGGACACAGCAGCATTTGGAAGGTTCTGAGCACCTTCCCAGGCTGGGGGCCTTCTCCTCCTGGGGTCCCCACAACTCAGGCAGACCCCCGCACGGACCTACACACACGCACACTCCCACACTCACACCGGCTCACACCCGAGATGCTGATGGCTCCCCCTCTCCCGGGCTAGGAAACTTGGTCCGAAGAGCCCGCCACACCCGCGAGCAGACCTCCGGGACCCCCTGCCTTTCCGGTGAGCCGCCCCTCCTTTGCCGTCGGGTTTCCCTCCCTCCCTTTTGCCCAGCCAAAACCCAAACCCAGGCGCCAGGGAAGAGGACCGCCCTTCTAGCTTGCCCCACTCCTGGGGGCATGGAGTTCTCGCTTCTTCGAAGCTAAGGCCCCCGTCGCTGATCCCGCCCGGACTCCCCCCAGCCCCCGGGACGCTCCGCCCCCTCCCCTCCGCAGGAATCTCTTACACTCGGGCTGTGAAGTTCGGGGTATTTTTAGGCCGGCGATAAATAATTCATAGGGAACGTGGCATCAGGCTCCCCCCGCGGGAGGAGGGGGCGCGAGCAGCAAGAGCCACCGTCACCCACGGCTCAAGGACACTCGCGATGCGGCGGCGGCAGTGGCGGCGGCTCCGGGCGGGGACCCGCGCCACGCCTCCTGGCGGCCGAGCTGCGCACCACGCACCCGGCGCCCCCAGCCTGGCGCTGCCCCCCGCCGGCGTCCGCGGCTCCGGGGCTCCCACCCCCACTCCCCCAAGCTGGGTAGTGATCCCGAGCCCCGCAGTCGGGGGACCGAGCCAGCCTGGCAGGAGGCCCCGGTACCAGCCGAGGCCTGCCCCAGGGCCCTGGGCGAACTCAGGTGTCCCGGACCTGCCTACCTGCCCCTTGCATGCTCGTATTCTTTGGGAGTTTAGAAACAGGCTCAAAGCCATTAGCACTGCCAAGACCTAGATGGACTCCGAAATACAGCCAGCGCGATGACACCCTCCCCAAATAAGTTTCTTTTCTCGGTTTTTCTGTGGCCTGGGATCGAGGACTGAACTAGGACACCACCATCCGAGGGCTGGGAGGCCAAGCCAGAATTCCCCTTGGGCGACCAGGCCTGGGAAACAGAGTGGAAGAATGGGGTGGGCGTCAGGATCGGGCGGGAATTCCCGTCTTGCTCACCCAGCAGCTCCTTGCAGGGTCACGGGACCCACCTGGGGGTTCAGGCTGCCGGGTGCCTTTGCTCCGCGTGTCCCCGCCCTGCCCGCCTAGGCGGGAAACAGGAGGCTCTGGGCTTCCCCTCTCCGCCGTCGGGGATCCTGGGCGAAGCCCCCAGAGACCGGCGTAGCCTGCTGGTGCGCAGCCAGGGCCCAGCGCCAGACCACGCTCGCGCAGTGCCCTCTCTGCCCACCCTTCCCTTCGCGCTCTGGAAGCCCGGGACCCGAGCACGGGCCAGCATCTGCAAGAGGCCACTACCCTGGAAGCCACTCCGATTCTCCCAGGTCGCAGGGAGGAGAGCGCTAGGCTGGGGCAGAGAGGGGGCAGAGCTGTAGGGGAAGAACCCGGACTCGCGGCGGGGGAAGGGGTCCGGGCGCGGAGGCAGGTGCGCAGCAGGTGCCCAGCAGACCTGGGGAAACCAGGGCACCAGGCTGGGGAACCGCACAGCCCCCTTTCGCCTTCTCACTCCCTTCTCACTCCCTCTCGCCTTCTCAGCCCCTCGCTCTGGTCGATCCCAGCCCCGGCCCCTCTCCCGGCCCTGTTCCCCGCCCTCCGCCCCGGCGACTACCAGCAGCAACAGTTGAGGTCCGCGGCAGCCCAGACTCCCGCGTCCCCGCACTGCCCCCGGTCCCGCGGTGCTGCCGTGCCAGGCGAAGGAGAAGGAGGGCTCGGCGACCCCGGGAAAGAACGTCTTGGGCGCTTCGCCCGTGTCCTTCTCTCGCGTCCGCCGCGCGCCTGTCTCCTCGGCCTCTTCTGCCCCTCCTCTCTCGCCGCCCGGGTCCAAACCCAAGGCCCGGTTCTCGAGGGTCCGGGTCCTCCAGCCGCCCCCTCCCTGCGCCCCAGTGTCCTGCGCCGGCCCGACCCCCCGCCCGGGTGTCCCGCCTCTGTCTCCGCCGTCCTTGCCGGCGCGCCGCGGGAACCCAGCCCCAAGTTGGCGGCGAAGTTAGAGACCCCCGCCCGCCCGCCGCCCGCCACTCACCGAGGGGAAGGGGCGCTGCGCCTACGCCGAGAGCCCGCGCCGGCCGCCTTCCTCGCGGTGCCTGTCCCGGAGCCTTGGCCCCGGCGCGCTGGCCCGCTCAGTCTCAGCTCGGCGGGTGCCGGAGCGGGGGCGGGGGCGGGTGGCGCGACCTGGCGGGCTGGCCCCGACCCGCCCCCGCTCCCCGCGACCCTCCCGAGGCTCGAACGGTGCCCGGCTCCGTCCGGGGCTGGGCTGTGCGCTGCGCCTCCGGCTCCCAGAGCTCGCAGCAGACTGTGCGGGAGTGCTCACTGCCGCCCGCAAGGGCCCGCCCCGCCGGGGCCCGCCGCCTCCGGCCCGGCCCGCCGCCCCTCGGGGCCCCTCCCGCCGCAGGCCCGGGTCCCTCTCCCCTCTCAGGGACCGTGTCTCCATACCCGACACAGGGGGCAGGTGCACCTCGGAGGAAACACCAGCCTGCCCGGGGCCTGGGTTTGAGCCCGAAGCTCACGAGTGTGTGACCTTGGGCCAGTTGATTTCGAGGACCCCTCAGTTTATATAGCGAGGCGGCACCTTTGGGGCTGCCATCAAAGGCAGTGACCACTCTCCAGACACTGGGAAGCCCTAGGGACATTTAGGCACTTTTTTTTTTTGAGACAGAGCCTCACTCTGTCGTCAGGCTGGAGTGCAATGGCGCAATCTCAGCTAACTGCACCCTCCGACTCCCAGGTTCAAGAGATTCTCCTGCCTCAGCCTCCCGAGTAGCTGGGACTACAGGCACACACTACCACGCCCAGCTAATTTTTGAATTTTTAATAGAGACAGGGTTGCACCATGTTGGTCAGGATGGTCTCGATCTCCCGACCTCGTGATCCACCCACCTCGGCCTCCCAAAGTGCTGGGATTACAGGCGTGAGCCACCACCTAGCCAACTAAGGCACTATTCTTAAAGGCCAGTGGGTCTGGCTGGAAACCAACAGAGGCAGGAAGGCTTTGAGAGTGGACAGAGAATAGGACCTGGGCCAGACTCGCCTGGGACACCCAGAAGCACAGGGGACAAGCTGCTGCTCAGCGCCCCTCCGCACGCTCCCCCCCACCTAAGGGCTAACCAGGGGGCCAGTGGAGCAGGCAGGCTGGGGTCCCATACCGGGCGGCCCTAGTGTGGACAGAAGACAGGCAATCTGTAACGACAGCAGAGCCCAGTGGAGAAAGGAGGTGCCTACGCCAGGCCGGGCTGCCCAGCCCCCTCAGGCCCCCAAGAGGGCCCCCAGCAGGGAGTTGTACCTGGTGATGGTAGCGGAGCTACTGCCAGCAGGTGACCCCTGACCCCAACCAACCCTTCCAAAAAAAGTCCCCCATCAACCACAGCCCTTGGTTGCAGCTGTTTTATTTCCAGCATGTTCCCAACCTGGTGACCCTCCACAGTCCAGCAGGAGAGAGGTGGGAAGGAGTTAGGTCAGCCGCACCTCTGCACAACGCTACAGTTGCCTCGGTTGCCCTTGCTGGCCAGGGCAAGCTTCCCCAGGAGGAAGGAGAAACCCTGGAAGGGCAGCCGAGCCTCCAAGCCGGGCCTGCCAGGATGTAGCAGAGTCCCACTCGGCAGACCCAGTCCTTCCCCTCCCAAGACTCATCCCTTCCCTGCCAGGGGCTGGGGCTGGGCTCAGTGTCCCAGGAGGCGCAGCATCTCCTGAGGATCCACCAGCTTCTCCCGGGGCTTCCCAGTGCTCTGGCCCCGGGCCACCTCCTCAGCATCCAGCTTCTCCCAGTCTGAGAAAGAGACTGGCTGGACCCCTGAAGCAGAGGGGAGACTGTCACCACCTCCTCCTTCACCTCTCCCAAAACAGCTCCCTCCCAAAGAGTGAGACCCTAAAGGAGGACCTCCCACCCCACCTCCCAGGACTCAGCATCAGGGTCCAGACCTCGGCTGCTGAGCAGGGCCTGGATGGCTGCGGAGCCAGGCCTGGGGCCAGAGGGGAGCAGCCCGGCCTTCAGGTCCTGCAGCAGCGTCTGGCCGGTGAGGAAGCTGTCAGTCATGGTTGTAGCTATGACCCCTGTGGGTCCTCTCTTCACCCAGCCGCTGCAGTAGAGGCCTGACAGGGGGGACAAAAGAAGAAGGAAGGGAGGTGGCTGGCCACCACCCTAGCCATCCTGTGCCCACAGTCTGTACCCATGTGCGCAGACACACAGACACTCCATGCCTCCCGGAAGACTGTTGGCCGAGCCTGCGGTGGCCGCTGGTCCACTGCCCTGGATTCTTTTCACCCTGTTTTTAACCAGACTGACCCCCTTACACTTTGGTGTCCCTTCGATGAGGGGATCCCTAAGCTTAGGAGCTGCAGTTTGCCCCCTGCAGTTTCAGTAGGCCCTTGATAAATGTTTACCAAATGACTAGATAGGTATGTGGGCACTTAGTAAAACTGGAGCTCCCTGACTGCCTGATTTATCTCCTATCCCAGCACTAAGCACAGGGCCTAGCCCAGAACAGATCTCAGTGAATGTTTGTTGAATGACTTAATGACCAGACATAGGTCCCGTATGTCCCAGCTAGACTGGAACTTCTCTTAGGGCCAAGATGAGGGTGGTGCTGGGTCCGGAGAGGGCCTGCCCTACAGAAGCTTCTCAGTGCATGTTGCTAGATCAATGAATGCATGGCCCCAGGAGACGCCAGCTTCCCGGCCTCCCACCAGAATTCACCACCCAGGCCCCTCACACCCTCTCACCTGGCACATCCGTAACCCGGCCCTCCACATTAGGGATGACCCCGAGCTTGCAGTCAAAGGGCACACTTGGGTCGATAGGGCGGCTCTTATACCCAACGCTGCTGAGCACCAGCCCACAAGGGAGGTCTTCCATGGCTCCCGTGGGCACTGCCCGGGTGGCCTCACCGACACCCTGTTGGGGAGAGGGGAGAGTGTGGGCAACTCCAGGCTGGAGTGGCAGAGGCCTGGGAAGGGAGTGTGTCTTTGGGAAACGTGAGACTCACCTCCAGTCTAGTGACTGCCAGGCGGACACCTGCTGCCCCCCGCCCATCTGGTGAGGGAAGCACCTGCTGGGGGCTTCGGAAAAAGCGGAGGCCCCAGGCACGAGAGGCCGATGCCCAGCGGGCAGCCTCCTCCGGCCCTGGCTTCTCCATGGCCGTTCGAAGCAGCAGCTCCGTCAGCCGCTTCCTTGGGCGCGGGACCTCTGTCGGCATTGTAGACTGTCTCCGGGCTGTCCCTGGAGCCCAGCCCTCTCCCCGAATGCCCTTCCCCAACCCTCTCTGACTTAGGCCACACCCTCCTCAGTAGCTGGTGGGCCAGGCCAGGGTCCTTCACCTTTGAGCCTGTCCTGGAGGCCCAAGAAATCCACAGGATCCAAAATGGGCCGGGTTCCTGGTAACTGAATCATCTCCCGAAGCTCCTTGAGGGTGGGGGCAGGGAATGGGGGAGGAGGTCAGGTCAGAACACTGTCCACCTGAGCCCACCCCAGGGTCCAGCCCAGGCAGGAGCAACCACCACCCGCCTCCTCCCTGAAGGCACAGGGCCCAGGGGCCTTGACTGTTCCCCTTCTTCCATCCCAGGCAGCAGCTACTCCCAGGGGCTCTGCCCCACCCCACCCCTTAAGGAGAGGCCCTCCACCTGGAACCCTGGCTCCTCCCACTCTGGCCCCAGCACCTTAATGGTGAAGGCCACTTGCAGGGGTCCACGCCGGCCCACTAGCCACACTGTCTTCACCTGACTCTGCCTCAGCACACCCAGAGCTGCCTTCGTGATGTCCGTTTTCTGGCACAAAAGGAGGGCCTTGAAATCATCAGACACTGACCTGGGAAAGCGGACTCTCTGGTCACGTCCCCACTGTGGGCCAGAAGGCTGGCGGCCCAAAATTGCACCACTGCTCCCCCCTGGTGGCCTGATGGAGCATTGCTGCCAACTCTGCAAATGACTCCAACTAATCGCACACCAGGCCCACACTTGCATTCAACAAGTATTTAGTGGACCTCTCCTATGTCCTCAGCCCCGTGCAAAGAGCTTGGAGGGGCATCAATGGTGAACAAAAGAGACAAGGAGCAGGCCATTACAGGGCTTCTGATCTGGTGGGGAGAGAAATACTCATCAAATACTCAACCACGTGTGTAAAATTGCTGTTGCGGTAACAGGCTGTGACACAGTAGCCGGGTCTGTGGGAGGAGGTGTGATGGGGCCAATTCAGGGAAGCCAAGGGGCAACCGAGCCAAGATCTAAAAGATGAACTTTGGCTGTTAACTGGTGGGAGGTGTGAGGGGACGATCCAGGCAGGGGTGGTGAGAGCCAGGGTCCTGTGGGTACTGAAGAGTAAAGAGAAAAAGGCCCCTCAGCTGGGGGACAGAAAGTGCAGGGGAAATGGAGAAGAGGACGCTCATGGGACTGCTCTTCAGAGGGCCTCTGCCTGGGCACCACGGGGAAACAGAAGCACTGGGCCTGGCTTGGAGAGGGGAGGCCTGAACCCTGCAGACAGGCCCACTCTCTCCTCAGGGTAACCCCACCTCCACCCTTCAGCCCCAACCTACCACTTACCTCCAGGTGCTCAGGTGGGGTGAGTAGGATACGGGCCACGTCCAGAGCCACGTTCCCCTGCCCCAGAATCACAGCCGTGTCACAGCTCAGGTCTGGCTTCAGCTGCAGGGAAAGGTCTGGATAGGGCCCCTGGCCTCGCTCCACTCAAGCTCACCTCAGTCTACAGGTGCCTCATGCCCAGTGCCCGCTGTGCCCTGGGGCTTCCCCACACCAGCGAAGTCCACAACTCAGGTCCCTCCTCCCACACCTGGACCCAGCTCTCCCCCAAGCCTCCCGCTTCAGTCAGCAGGATCTCACCTCTCCTTACCACCGGGTGGCAGCTCCCTCTTTCCCCAGGCCTGGCATCCAAGGGCCGAGGGGTGGGGAGGAAGACGCAGCAAGCTCCCCAAACTCACCTCCTGGTTCTCAGGAAGCCCGTTGTACCAGCCCACGAAGGCCCGGGCGGAGCACACACCTGGCAGCTCCTCACCAGGAATTTCCAGGGCCCGATGGTCCTCTGCCCCGTAGCTCTGATGAAAGATGACAGGCCCGAGGCCCACAGCTCTCAGCACCAGCACTGGTAGGCCAGGCAGCCCCCCAGGCTCCCAGTGGCCCTCTTCCAGCTTCTCCTCTGGAGCGTGCATCCTGGCCTCACCCCTGGGGCCCTCCACCGCCAGCCGCCAGCCGCCTTCTGCAGCCCCTGCCTCCCCCACCCAGCGCCTGGCCGCACTCACCAGCACCACGGCATGGTAGGCCTCCCGCAGCTCCGGCACCGTCACGTCCCTGCCCACCTCCACGTTGCCCCAGAAGGCACAGCGGCCAGAGTGGGCCGTCTGAGTGAATGTGTTGATGACATTCTGCCAGGTGCCCCGGGAATGGGAGGGGTTAGAGGGTGAGGCAGCTCCAGGGACCCACGTCTGCACC